AGCGCCCAACTGCTGCTCATCTCCACTGGGAGCAGAACAAATGACACAGGAATGAAGTTGTCTATGAGTGGTTCAGAGATGGGAGAAGGGGAACGTTCCTAGTGCAGACTGTTAAATATTTGAGAGAGGAATGATGAAGGACACTGTGATTTCACCTCTAGAAGTCACACACACTCCCACAGATGCTGGAAATGGACAAATGGGCTTCTCATGCTTCCTCTCTGTTCGGAGATTTGATTCTGCAATGTCAAAGCCCCTTGTTCAGCCTTTTTTCCACCACCATCATCACTTATTCTTACACACAATCACCAACACAAGTTTTGTTTCTTTTGTTTTGGTTGTAAAAGTAAGAGCTGGAGGTGTTTGGGGAAGTGACTGTGACAAACTCTTCCCTGTTGTTGTTAGCTGCCATCAGGTTGGCCCCTGACTTACAGCAACCTCATGCACAATGGAATGATCTCGGATTGGACAGTTATGATCCATAAGGTTTTCATTGGCTGACTTAGTCTGGAAGCTCCTCTGAAACCTGTTCAGCATCATAGCAACATACAAGCCTCTCCACTGACAGACACTTGGTGGCTCTGCATGAGATGCATTAGCTGGGAACTGTACAACACTCCCTGTGCACAGCCCACTTGTTCATGCAATACTTCTTCCACGAAGCCTTCCTTGATTTGCTGCAGCTTCCAAGAGGAAATTCATCTCCCCTTCCTCTCAATTGCCCCAGTGTCAGTATGTTTTCCTTACAGCCTTAATACTTTGGCTTTTCAATTGTAATCTCTGAAACTCTGCCTTCTCTCTCCTCCAAGAACTACAGAGCAGGACTGAGTCTCATCCAGCTTCATATCCCCATATGCTGGTACCCAGCATATTAGATATTAAATAGACACTTGTTCAAAGTACAAATAGAGTCCTATATTTGGCCTTGCAAATAAAATGTCAGCTTTCTGTACCATTTCAAACAGCAAACTTGGGCTGCTTAACCTGTCGTCAAAAACCCATTGCTGTCGAGTCTATTCAGACTCATAGCCACCCTACAGGGCACAGTAGAACCGTCCCATAGGGTTTCCAAGGAGTGGCCGGTAATTTGAACTGCCAACCTTTTGGTTAGCAGCCATAGCTCTTAACCACTGCACCGCCAGGGCTCCTTAAAGGCAGAGCATATCTTTGTAATGATGTGAATTTGAAATAGGGCTGTGTTCATTTGGCACAATCAACAGTGAAGGCCTTAGCTGACCTAACTAGTGACACCCGTAACATGTACCTTTCAACCCGTGATGGCATTTATCTCCACATATAGTAAAAGGATCCTCCCTAGTATCGAGTAGTTCGAGGAGGTGGTTTAAGAATGCTAAATACTACTTAATTCCTGTTAATCACAGCTGTGATGATCACCAACATTTGTATGTGATTGAACTCTGACAAAAGAGAATTATATGGCCTGCCATTTATTTTTCTCTCCTCTTTTCAACTCGGATCCAATGAACCTACAGAAAAAGATTGGGGGGTGGGGTCGGACCCACGGAAGCAGAGCACTGGTTTTGGGAGAATTTAATAAGAAGTTGTAATCAAGCAAAAGTGATTTTCTTTATTTTAAAAAGAATAAATTTACATACAGTACATAAGCAAAACAGCTGAAGGCTTCCAAAATAGAAACCCGGAGCATATGGTCCCGAAACACCATATGCTTTGATTATACTTGGGAAGCATGAGTTCCCTATTTGGGCGAGAAAAGCCCATGTCAGAGTGGGACCAGCAGGCATGTTGGGATTTCTGCCACTGCCATTTAAGGGTTTTTAGTTTAGGGGTCTCTTATGTTTTTCTTCTGCACATTATGTCATAGTGCAGGGCTGAGCAAAACTGGCACAAAATGACAGCTGTTTAGAATGAAGGTTCCTGGAGCCACGTCCTGGCCCACCGTGACAGTGAGTTAGCGGCAGGATGGGGGCAATTAGGAAAGGGACACATCATTCTACCTGGCTCCTGGAGAGGCCAATAACGTATTTTCTACACAAATAACGTGCCCACGTAAATAACATGCTCATACATGTAACACGTGGAAATGAAATTAAGCGAAACAGTTCTGGCATAGTATGCCCATGCGTATACCATGCAGTCTAATGACATTTCCAGAAGTGAATTTCAGCCTCATCACCTGTCCTCCCATATTTCAGGTAAATCATTCTGTTCATTTTCTTTAACCTCCTGCTTATGTGTATAAAAATAGTCCAAAAAATGTTACTTTTGATCATAATTGTATAATAAAGATATAAGCCATGGTCAAGAAGTCATGGATTGAGTTTGGTAGTCCTCCAGTAACTGGAAAATAAACAATGAAAACTGTGCATTTGCTTCTATTAATTTGATACTTATAGCACTAACAGTTGAATGCAAAAATCTTAAGATTGTCTTAAGTGAAATCATTAGGTTATGTTGCCTGCTTATTTCGTAGTTTAATTATGTTTTCATGGCGTCAATTGAAGTCAGTAACATGGAAAAAAAAATTGGCATAGCACACTTACAAAAATAATGCACAGAAGTGGGGTGTGTGGTGCAGTTGTCAAAAACGTCTAACACGTGCGTTATTTGAGAACACGGTAATCCTGGGGGCTTTGGCGCCACAATTTCCAAACGCAGGGTTGGCCAGACTAAAAGACCTAGCTTTATACTGGATACATCACTGTAAGCTTGCATGCTGCAGTCCTGGAAACTTGTAAATTCTTAATCTCCCAGACAGCAGATCAAGACAGGGGCTTTGGGCCAAGACTAAGGCCACACCAGTAGGGGGCAGTCCTTCCCCAGAGAGAAAAATCCAATGGCCTAAAAGGAGACCAGATCATGGTCTGGGAGCGTGTGGGTGTGACAGTTTAAGAGAATGAATTACTATGTGACAAATTAGTGGAAGAGTGCTGATCAAGGAATAGTTTGAATCAGGTAACAATTTTCTTTCGACCAGTTTCTGCCTGATTCTAGGCCACAGAGCAGGAGTGCTTAAAAACTAAACTGTAACTTGGACTCACCGACATACATACCATTTATTCTCTAGTTGCTGTAATAAGAGACTTTAAAAAGTGACCAACTATGACAAGTCTTAGGGTGATTCTTTAATGTACTGTTTCTAATATATTCATCTTTGACCTAAATATAGTCAGTCGTAAATACATCAATATTGTTGGTACTTAAAAGGGACAGTAGTAAAAAAAAAAAAAAAAAGTATATATATACATACAACCAACTGCTGTAAAAATTTCAGTCCGTCTTTTCGAAAGGTGTAGTGGGAAAAGTTGATACTTTTTCAGATGGTTTCAGTCAACTCAACCAAAATTATTTTGTGTAAATAGTATCCATGTTGGGCTCTCTGGTTTGGCAGCTGTGGAGTCTGAGACACAGGAACGTGCCTCATCCAACACCCACAGCCCTGAAGGAGCAGATCTAGGGTGAGGGTCCCTCCCAAGTGGCTCTTCTTCCTCCACCATGGTGCCACAAATATTGGTCAGAATTTGATGTAAAAACAGTTAAATGGTAGGTCATTCTTGTTCCAGCCTTCTAGTTATCAAAAATGTGAAGAGAATTTTAAGGGAAAAACGCATGTTTTGCAAAAGATTACTCTTCTCAAAACCAAACCAAACCCACTGCTGTTGAGTCGATTCTGACTCATAGCGACCCTACAGGACAGAGCAGAACTGCCCCATAGGGTTTCCAAGGCTGCAAATCTTTATGGAAGCAGATTGCTACATCTTTCTCCTGCAGAACGGCTTGGTGGGTTCAAACCATCGAGCTTTTGGTTAGCAGCCAAGCGTTTTAACCATGGCGCCACCAGGGCTCCTCCATTTTTCTCAAGGATAAGTCAAACAAGTCAAACAGCAAAGATCATCCCAACAATAAGGCCATGGAACATATTAGAAATCAGGATAGTGTGGTTTTTAGTTTTAACACTGGATGCAGAGGGAAGGCCTTAACTTTCCAGGAGAGTTACTTTTTCCCGGGGTGTGCACATTATAAAACATGGCTTTAGTGGCTCAGACACTGTATCTCAAAAGAAACTCTACTGCCTGTTTAAACTAACGTTTAAAAAACTTACTGATACTTATTTTTAAGGAGTGAAGCAGAGCCCTGGGAGAGAACCCTGTGGCATCTGCATAACGATCGCCTTTCTAATGAGGACAGGACGCTAAGTCTAAAGGGTGCTGTGTTTGGTTGGCTTGTTTTCCCAAGACAGGCTGAAGTTGTTCTTGCATTAATTATCCTTAAGATTGCCAAGAGTTAAGAGGTGAAAAGTCAGGAAAGGAGCCCCTGATTCTATCTGGCGGATGAGAAACAGATTTACAGAAAGTAATTGAGAAATGGAGGAGCAATGTGAGGGTGGCCTTGTTGGGGTCAATGTCAAGGTGACTTTGTCAAGATCAATGTCATGGTGACCTTTTCAGGGTGACTGTGTCAGGGTCAATGTCAGGGAGGCCTGTCTTCTCTGTCAGGCTCCAGAAAGGACTGAAGTCATTGTTCTACTGGTCCACCTTTGCAGGTAGTTGATGGCACCTTCCAAGTTACTAAGGAAGCAAAGGAAGCTGAAGATAAGCAGAGGGCTTGTCCCAAGTCACTCTGAAGCAGGAGAGAGCTGGACATTCAGTGACCCCAGATGCATCCACGGCGTTTTCCACTTTTGAGGAAGGTTTAATCTCACTTGCCTGGTGAGGTGGGAGCAGCCAGTTTCTTGGATCAGAAAAGTATGGGGATGGTGGCTGGAATCCTGCAGAATGTATCAAGGAAGAAGAGCAGGTGCCTATTTCAAAATGTACACCTAAAAGAAGCAAGAGCTCACCAGGACAGGAGGATTTTCCCTACAACCTCACAGTTCTGCCACCACCTTCATCCTCTTCACAGTCAGGTTTACTTCAGAGTGGTCTTGTCACCAGCCAGGCACAGTCTAATTAGATTATAATGAAAACAGAGTCACCCCGTTCGAGGAATGCAGTTTTATATGGTGCCACCCTTTTTGCCAGACCAAAGTTCCAGTTTTGGTGATGAGAGTCAGCGCTAGGCAAGGTCATAACTGAAAAGAAATCTGCTCTACCTCCAGGAGCCAGTGGGGCTGTGGCTTTTCCTAAACTGCCACAATTCCTCCCGGCTCATGAATAGATCCAACATCCAACTTTCCTATGTCTTGGCTCTTGCGTTCAATGGGCTATTTCCCAACTGTCTGGGGGCTCACAGTAATCCCAAAAACCTGTGTAACATTGGCACAAATGTTGCAGCACAGATGCCAACAGATGTGTAGGTGACAAACTTGTAAGGCACTTCAATTTCCAGTCTCCTCCTGGCCTCCTTGTTCCTGATCACCACCCTGAACCATGAGTATAATACTTGAAGTGAGAGATTCTGTACAAATTGACGAACCAAGAGGATCAACACAATTCCCACAGCAAATTTGGTCAGACCCAAAACTAACATGTCAGTGGTGAGCGGAGGGATGTTCCGAATAACAGGGAGAGATTCAGTAGGCTTGGACACGAGCTGGAAAAAATGGTTGATCCAGAATCCTATGGTCACTCCAGCCCCAGCAGCAAGAACGGTGGTAGTATCTGCTCTGGTTGGGCTATAGTAGTCAGAAACGGGGTAAAGGTAACACAAGAAGAATGGCACGACTATGACACACACAGGCAAGAGGGGGCTGGCCGAGTCCAGATTGTCAATGAGGGTCCAGGCAGGATAGGTGAGGGCAATGAGGAGTGCAGTGATCAGGACACCACCCAGCACATCCTGTGAGAAGGAAAGAGAAAAGAAAAATGTAAGCTAGTGAGTGCTTACTTTTATATAGGTAGAGTTTTGAGTCAAATAGGGTTGATTCAATTTAAAATATAATTTTTAAATTATTTTATAATACACGTTTAAAGAGTGTGTAAAGTTGTAAAAATTTAAAAATAGGAAAAAATACCGACATAACCATGCTATTTACATTTTCTGTATTTTCTTCTAGTTGTTTTATAGTTTAGAATAAATTCCATCTTTGTTTGCTTAATGCACAGCTATAATTATGTTGTCCCTTCAGTTTCATATCAGTTTTTATTTAGAATTATATCACAAGTATTCTCACAGTCTTCAAGACATGCTGCCATCCTTTCTATGCAGGGAGGGGTTGGGGGTGCACACTGGCTGGAAGTGAAGTTCCCTTCTCCAGAAGCCACATTCACATAGCAGTCATACTATTGTTACTTAACCAGTAACCAAAGCAGTTGCTGTTAAGTCGACTCTGACTCATGTTGACCCCTAGTGTGTTAGAGTAGAACTGTGTGCTCCATAGGGTTTTCAATGGCTGAATTTTTTGGAAGTAGATCACCAGGCTTTTCTTCTGAGGCACCTCTGGATGGACTAAAACCTCCAACCTTTTGGTTAGCAGCCGAGTGCGTTAACTGTTTCCACACCCAGGGACTTTACATACAGCAGCAGGCGGTCATAGGCAAGTAGCAATAAAAGAAGTCATTGTCTTTTTTTATTTTTGTTTGGAATATTTTTGAGTGGAATTTTCTGTTAAAAAAAACCCATGGCTGATGGTCTTGGGGAACATCTAGCTCAATTGGCATGACACAGCTTATAAAGACAGTGCTCTACATTCTACCTTGGTGAGTAGTGTCTGGGGTCTTAAAAGCCTGTGTGTGAGCAGCCATCTAAGATACTCCACTGGTCTCATCCCTTTGGGAGCAAGGGAGAATGAAGAGAACAGGATACAAGGAAAAGATTAGTCCGAAGGACTAATTGTCCACAGCTACCAAGGCCTCCACCGGACTGAGTCAAGTACAGCTAGATGGTGCCCGGCTACCACCACTGACTGCTCTGACCAGGATCACAACAGAGGGTTCTGGACAGAGCTGGAGAAGGATGTAGAGCATAATTCTAACTCACAGAAAAAAGACCAGATTTACTGGCCTAAAGGAGACTGGAGAAACCCCGAGAGTATGGCCCCCAGACACCCTTTTAGCTCAGTGGTGAAGTTACCTCCGAGGTTCACTGTTCAGCCTGGGAGTGGACAGCCCCGTAAAACCAAATGAGACTAACGAGGTACAGGAGTCCAGTGACAAGGGCCAGAAGGCAGAAGGGAACAAGGAAGCTGGTGATAGGGAACCCAAGGTTGAGTAAGGATATTGTTGATGTGTTGTGAGATTGTTAACCATTGTCATAGGGCAACATTTGTAGTAACTGTTAAATGAGAAACTATTTTGTTCTGTAAGCCTTCATCTTAAGTGAGAATAACTGCACAATTTGAAGAGCGTAGTCAATGTCACTGAACTGTGCATGTAGAAATTTTTGAAATGGTGTATCTTTGGCTATGTGTATTTTCACCAAACAAAAAAAGAGGTTGAGAAGTTAGAGGGTTGATATGTTGTGGAGTTGTTAACCAATGTTATAAAACAACATGTGTACTTCTGTTTCATGAGAAACTATTTGTTCTGTAAGCCTTCACCTGAAGTACAATAAAAAATATATAAATAAATAAATAAAAAACCATGGCTGTTGAGTCATTTCCAACTCATAGCAACCCCACAGGACAGAACAGAACTGCCCCATAGGGTTTCTAAGGAGCAGCTGGTGGATTTGAACTGCCAACTTTTTGGTTAGGAGGCAAAGCTTAACCACTGGGCCACCAGGGCTAGAAATTTCTGTTAGGGGTTGGGTAAAACACAGTTTTGCAGAAGGCACAGAAAGGTTCAGAGTGATCCTGTAGGTGCTCGGGGAAACTCATGTATTGTACACATTTCTCTTGATGGAACTCTGGACTCCCTGGTCACGGAAGCTCAGAGTCCTGCTGGTGACATCTGATGTTCCTTCCTCTCATCACCCATCCCCACCAGTCACATAATCCGCAGACTCCTCCTCCATTCATTCACAAGCTCCCTCAGTCTGCCCCAACCGCTGATGGTCTACTTTACCACCCAGACTTCAGACCTTCACTGCACCTCATGCCTGCCAGTCTCGGTTCCCAAACATTCACAGACCACCTTCTTGATGGATTTCCAAAAGCAACTGTTCTCAAGTATTAATGTACATGAAAATCCCTACAAAGATAGATAAAATGCAGACTCCAGGGTACTGCTCTCGGATTCTGATCAGAAGCGACCCAGGAGTATGCATTTATTTATTTTTTTATTGTGCTTTAGATGAAGGTTTACAGAGCAAATTAGTTTCTCATTAAACTATTAATACACATATTATTTTGTGACATGGTTGCCAATCACATGGCATGTCAACACTCTCCCCTTCTCGACCTTGGGTTCCCCATTACCAGCTTTCCTGTCCCCTCCTGCCTTCTCATCCTTGCCCCTGGGCTCGTGTGCCCATAGAAGTCTGCATTTTAACACCCAAAGTTGATTCTGATGTAAGAGGTCTAAATGGTAAACTCTGAGAAGTACTGGCCTATAGGTTGGTAGTCATGGAACCTCGGAGGTGCAGTGGTTAAAGCGCTAGGCTGCTAATTGAAAAGGTTGGCAGTTCGAACCCACCAGCGGCTCTGCATGTGAAAGATGTGGTAGAGTGCTTCCTTCCATAAGGATTACAGCCTTGGAAACCCTATAGGGCAGTTCTACTCTGTCCTATAGTGACATTGTAAGTTGGAATAGACTCGACAGCAACAGGTTTGGGTTTTTTTGGTAGGTTGGCAGTCAAAGTCCTCCGGTGTGATGGTAAAATTAATCTGTTTTTCCAGTGTTCTCTCTCACTACTTTTCCATTTCAACTTTCCACTCCAGTCAAACAGGTCTAGTCATCTTTCCCCGACATGCCCAGTGCCATTTTATTATCATAATTTTGCATTTCTTTTATGTACAGCACAGCTGAATCATCTCTACCTATCAAGATCGTATCAGTTCTTCTGAGGCTCAGCTCAAAACCTACTTCCTTTCCAAAGTATCCTCATGTGTTATCACAGTTGGAAATGACCTGTTCTTCTCCCTCTTCCTGAAATGAATGTTAAGACACTAGTTTAATATCACTCAGAAAGCCTTACCTTAGATTGCCTTTTTTGTTTTCTACTTTCTTTTATATATATATATAAAACTTGTTTTCTTTTTCTTGTTGTTGAGAATATACACAGCAGGACATACACCAATTCAACCATCTCCACATGTATAATCCAGTGACAGTGATTACATTCTTCAAGTTGTGCAGCCATTCTCACCCTCCTTTTCTGAGACGTTCCTTCCCCCTTAACATAAACTCACCGCCCCCTAAGTTTCCTATCTAATCTTTCGAGTTGCTGTTGTCAATTTGATCCCAGAGAGTTCTTAAAAGAGCACAATGCTCAAGGCAGACATTCTTTACTAGTTAAGCTAAACTACTGTTAGGTTTAAAGAAGACTTCAGAGGATATTTTTGGTTTAAGGTTTAAAGAGTATCTCAGGGCAATAGTTTCAGGGGTTTATCCAGACTCCATGGCTCCAGAAAGTCTGATTCTATGAGAAAATGAAATTATGTTCTGCATTTCCCCCTTTTCTTAGATTGCCTCTTGCCACAGTTTATGTATTCACATGCCTCCACCCTGAGTTGATTATAAGACTCTGGTCAGCAGGGGCTGGCTCTCTTGCATCTTTGCATTCTTCTTCAAAGCCCCTAGCATAAGTGTTCAACTCATAGCTGACATTTAGTTATAGTCTTGGCTCCAACATGACAAACCTTACCTTTCTCTTATTCTGAATTATCTGTAACATTTAGCACTCATTGTTTCAGTAAGAAAAACAAAAACCAAACCCATTGCTGTCGAGTCAGTTCCAACTCACAGCAACCCAATATTACATAACTAAAAAATTATCTCCCTTCCTTCTGTCTTCCTTTGTAGCTGCAGTTACCAAACTGCAATACACCTGATTGGAATATTCTTTCTGAACTAATTCTGTTTATCTTCAATGCATCAGGAGACTAGACTATTTTGCTCCAGAGTCCCGGCATTTGAGGAAAAAGTTAATTTTAGCCAAAACGGCTGCTGGTGTAGTTTTTTTTCCTTCTGACAACACAGTTATGTTTTCAGCCATAAAAGGTGCTATTGTAATAAAGACATTTAGGTATTTCAGTCAGGAAAATACTTGAACCATAGCTAATAAGCCTTCTAACTTGGAGCTCTAAATTTCTTATAAGAAAATTATTCTAAATACCTTCTAAAAATAAAGACTGTAATGCTTGAAAATTCAAGAACTTTTTACATTAATTTTTTTTAAAAACTACTAAATTCACAGAAACTATAAATGCTTACTAAACCAATCTCCATCTCTGAATTGGGTTTGCTGTGATTTTCCCAAATTCAGAACTAGGAAGCTATTTCTTTGGAACTGCACAGTCACGTGTTTGGCATGGTATGTGAGGGCAGAGGGAAAAGAGTTTGCAGTTCTACAGAACAGGAAAGGCAAGCTGTAGGACAGAGGAGACAGTGCCAACAGAACAGAGAACGGTACAATAGAGCACAAAGGTAGAGGTGGGAGCCACTGGCTAGGACTTGCATAATTTCTCTTTGAGTCAGAACTGCCTTCACAGCAATGGGTTTAGCTTTTTTTCTTTGAATAGGTGGATGGAGGGAGGAGGCAGAGAGACGAGAAGAGAGGAAAGAGTGTGTGTGGTTTATAGGGAGATATGAATTGAGGATAGTCAAAGATAATGGTGCAGAAAACAAATTTAAACTCCTTTCCGTAGAAAAATAAAATCTGACTATAAAAGTATTCTAACACTGTTGTTAGGTGCTGTCGAGTTGATTCCAACTCTTATGACCCTACAGGGCAGAGTA